ATATATGTGTTGGGGTAGTAAGGGTGTCACAATCTACATCAAGGATAAGATCACGAGTAAAGTAAAATAAATATTGCATTTTGCATTGTTGAATGTTGACAACTTCAAGTTTATTTGACCTCTTCATCAAAATAAGAAGAAAATCAACCAACATGTCATCGCAATTTTTTGCCCGGAATAGTAACAAGTTGGTGAAATGTAATGGTCGAAGATTATCCAATATCTTGCGTAATTCCTCATTGTCACCAATTTCATACTTAGTAATTGTTGATAATTCATCAACCTCTAAATTTTTCTACACTTGTTACCATTTTGTGCAACTGGAGTACGTGGCAATTGTTCAAACAGAGTAAAAGACTCGCTAAATATATATCCAATACCTTGAAAGATGTAAGGTAATCTATTTTTTTTAATTAAGTCTCCCAAATTTTAAATTTAAATGCACATTTTTTTATCGAAAATTCTTTATGTACATATTTGAAATTTATGTTTAATTTAAGATAAAAAATTCAAGTGTTAAATTTAGGAAAATTTGAAGAATTTCTTGAAAGTTGTAAAATAGGATTTAATTTGACAAATAAAAATTGATATTTTTCAATTTTGGTTGAAATTTAATGTTTTGGTTAACGAGTTTTGAACAAAGAAAGATTTAAAACAATTTAATAGTATTAAATTTTTATAACGTATTTAAGTAGGAATTGAGAATTTAAAGACTCATAATAGAACAATATTTATAAAAGAATCAAAAGTCACTCAATCTAAAAAGTAGATGGACTTAATTAATTAAAAAAGTTTAGATTTGAAAATCGTAGTTAATAACAATTAAAGAGGGCAAAAGCATAACCGTAAACAAGCTTAATGTTTTTAGTCTATTATGGCAAATAGTGTTTTGATAGAGAACTAACCCATGATTCAAAAAAATTGGTAACTTGTGTATCAATATTATGTTGCACTTCATTTTCCATGATGAATGATTTGAATCGTGACTCTTTAATCTTTCCGAATCCAAACTTCTTTAAGTTAGGGCAGTGGTTCAAAATAAGATTTTCCAAGTATGGCCATTCAACAATGTTTCCTGAGGAAAAACTCTTTAGATTGGGCAAGTCTTCACAATGCACTGTATTTGTTTCCGGAAATTCCATTCTTATTGTGGCATCTTTGACTTGTTGAAGATGATAGGATATTTCCTGTATAATCCAAGGAAATTCTTCATGATAAGCCAATTTTTCTTAAGGTTGTTAGGATGTAAACAAATAATAAGAATTAATTGAAGACATAATCTTTATACTGTCATATAAACTTAATGTTGTCAACTTACAATATAATAAATTTAAAAGAATACTAACACCGATGAAAAACATAAAAATTGGTGGGTCTTTCATTCTATATAATGACCCTCTTTCTTAAGTTTTTGGTTTTCAATAAAATATATTCAATGAGAAATGATATTAAGAAGAGGATGTATTGTCACCCATATGTAGTACGCCTCCCCCGCGTCGAAGCCAGTAGTCTCAATGAAATTCTCCCAATTGGTTCGGACTCCTAAAGGCATAGCCGCAAATATATATGAATGAATATAGTTTGTCGTTGGTATGTGGTTTTATGGAAGAAACTCCTCTTTATGTGCTTTTATATATCAAACCTCAACTCAACTCTTTTTATTACAAGGACTCAAATTAGAGACAGAAAATGGTATGTTTAATAGAAACTAAATAACTAACTATATATATGCTTTTATGATTCAAAATGAAATGGATTATGGTACTGTACCTGCTGCACGCCGCTCCTTCTAATTGTCCCTTTGATAGTCTTCAGCTAAATTTACCTGCTTCAGACTCTCCAACAAATATAATTTCATATCCGTAAAGTCGAAATATTTATAACTTAGAATGAATGGTTGAATTTTTTATTCTGTCAATAGATATCAAGTTTAAATAATTCCTTTCTTTGATTCTACCAATTTCCAAAACTAATTCCTTACTTAAATTTAAGTAATTCCTTTCTTTGATTCTTCCAATTTCCAAAAGTAATTCCTTACTTAAAACTAATGTCAGGATCTACAATAAGAATATCACAATTACCTTGTCACCGGAATGCATGCTTTTCAAGTATTTTGGCAACTGACACAAGGATGATACTTTCTCTTTTTTTTTTTCTTCTTTTTTTTTTTTTAACGATACTTGATTAATAAAATATATTAACGATACTTGATTTAAAATTCAAATAAAAATAAAAAATATTTAATGTTTTTTTAATGTCATTAATTATTAACAATGACTATACATTTATGTTTGATTAATTAGTAATTATGAATACTAATAATATTAACTTTAAAATTACAATATCTATATTATCAATATATAATCTATAATCTATAATATATATATATATATATATATGTGAGATTATAATAATTCTTATTTGTGATTTTTCCTCATTCTATGTTTTAATACTTTATATATTTACAATTATTATATGTTTAGTTTAATGATTTTTCTTATTACCGCTACCTAATAATCTATGATGATTTCAGTTTCTTTGAGTCTTCTCTATTTACTCAAGCTCAATTATAATATATACGTTTAAATATATTTTTAATTTTTTAAATTTAATGTAAATTTATTTTTATCTCTTAAATTTAAAATTATTTTTTTAATCATGAAATTTTTAAAAAACTTGTTTTAATCTCTAAGAGACCCAAGCAAGTAGCACAAGGGTTTTAGGCCTCCAATGTTTTTTTAACATTAATATACTACTATAAAATTAAAAATACTTAATTTTAAAATTACACCTAAAATAATTTTTAATTAAAATTTTAAAATATTCTAACTGACTATGAAGTTTATATTGGTACTATAAATACTATTTAATGAATAATAATTTTGAAATTTCTCCTAATCAATAATAATATTTTTTTTAAAAAAAGATATTAAATAGTTATTTTAATAGGTAAAGAAACTCTAAAACCCTAAAACTGTTGAGACTGTCTATGAATGGTAGTATGAAATATTTATAACTTAGAATGAATGGTTCAATTTTTTATTCTGTCAATGCATATCAAGTTTAAGTAATTCCTTTCTTTGATTCTACCAATTTCAAAAAGTAATTCCTTACTTAAAACTAATGCCACGATCTACAATAAGAGTATCATAATTACTTTGTCACCACGGAATGCATGCTTTTTCATACTTTATCGTGACTCTTTAATCTTTCCGAATCCAAACTTCTTTAAGTTAGGGCAGTGGTTCAAAATAAGATTTTCCAAGTATGGCCATTCAACAATGTTTCCTGAGGAAAAACTCTTTAGATTGGGCAAGTCTTCACAATGCACTGTATTTGTTTCCGGAAATTCCATTCTTATTGTGGCATCTTTGACTTGTTGAAGATGATAGGATATTTCCTGTATAATCCAAGGAAATTCTTCATGATAAGCCAATTTTTCTTAAGGTTGTTAGGATGTAAACAAATAATAAGAATTAATTGAAGACATAATCTTTATACTGTCATATAAACTTAATGTTGTCAACTTACAATATAATAAATTTAAAAGAATACTAACACCGATGAAAAACATAAAAATTGGTGGGTCTTTCATTCTATATAATGACCCTCTTTCTTAAGTTTTTGGTTTTCAATAAAATATATTCAATGAGAAATGATATTAAGAAGAGGATGTATTGTCACCCATATGTAGTACGCCTCCCCCGCGTCGAAGCCAGTAGTCTCAATGAAATTCTCCCAATTGGTTCGGACTCCTAAAGGCATAGCCGCAAATATATATGAATGAATATAGTTTGTCGTTGGTATGTGGTTTTATGGAAGAAACTCCTCTTTATGTGCTTTTATATATCAAACCTCAACTCAACTCTTTTTATTACAAGGACTCAAATTAGAGACAGAAAATGGTATGTTTAATAGAAACTAAATAACTAACTATATATATGCTTTTATGATTCAAAATGAAATGGATTATGGTACTGTACCTGCTGCACGCCGCTCCTTCTAATTGTCCCTTTGATAGTCTTCAGCTAAATTTACCTGCTTCAGACTCTCCAACAAATATAATTTCATATCCGTAAAGTCGAAATATTTATAACTTAGAATGAATGGTTGAATTTTTTATTCTGTCAATAGATATCAAGTTTAAATAATTCCTTTCTTTGATTCTACCAATTTCCAAAACTAATTCCTTACTTAAATTTAAGTAATTCCTTTCTTTGATTCTTCCAATTTCCAAAAGTAATTCCTTACTTAAAACTAATGTCAGGATCTACAATAAGAATATCACAATTACCTTGTCACCGGAATGCATGCTTTTCAAGTATTTTGGCAACTGACACAAGGATGATACTTTCTCTTTTTTTTTTTCTTCTTTTTTTTTTTTTAACGATACTTGATTAATAAAATATATTAACGATACTTGATTTAAAATTCAAATAAAAATAAAAAATATTTAATGTTTTTTTAATGTCATTAATTATTAACAATGACTATACATTTATGTTTGATTAATTAGTAATTATGAATACTAATAATATTAACTTTAAAATTACAATATCTATATTATCAATATATAATCTATAATCTATAATATATATATATATATATATGTGAGATTATAATAATTCTTATTTGTGATTTTTCCTCATTCTATGTTTTAATACTTTATATATTTACAATTATTATATGTTTAGTTTAATGATTTTTCTTATTACCGCTACCTAATAATCTATGATGATTTCAGTTTCTTTGAGTCTTCTCTATTTACTCAAGCTCAATTATAATATATACGTTTAAATATATTTTTAATTTTTTAAATTTAATGTAAATTTATTTTTATCTCTTAAATTTAAAATTATTTTTTTAATCATGAAATTTTTAAAAAACTTGTTTTAATCTCTAAGAGACCCAAGCAAGTAGCACAAGGGTTTTAGGCCTCCAATGTTTTTTTAACATTAATATACTACTATAAAATTAAAAATACTTAATTTTAAAATTACACCTAAAATAATTTTTAATTAAAATTTTAAAATATTCTAACTGACTATGAAGTTTATATTGGTACTATAAATACTATTTAATGAATAATAATTTTGAAATTTCTCCTAATCAATAATAATATTTTTTTTAAAAAAAGATATTAAATAGTTATTTTAATAGGTAAAGAAACTCTAAAACCCTAAAACTGTTGAGACTGTCTATGAATGGTAGTATGAAATATTTATAACTTAGAATGAATGGTTCAATTTTTTATTCTGTTGAGCACGGCTCTGGATTGTTACATGGGTATCGTGACCTTGGTTAACATGTCAAGGGTGA